CAAATTTTTTGACTTAAAATGGATGTGAAATTGGGTAGTTGAGGACGTATCATTGAATGGGTACAATGTTTTGAATAAAATTTTTTGAATTTTGTTACACACCTCAAACCATCGAGTTTCATATCTTAAGATTGATTGTGACCTCCTTATAAATATAAGAATTGTATATAATGAAAGGATTGTATGCAATAAGACCATTTACCTTTAATACAAAGCCATCCATGGAGCATCTGCTGAACTTATTAAGAGAGAGTTCAATGACTTATTTGTATTATTGACCTGTCTTTCTCTTATCATATCTTAGACTTATGAAAATGGCTTGCAATTTGTTGGAGGTTTAAGTTGGGAATGGGAGAAAATCGAAAGGACATTGACCAAAATAATCTAAAGTGTTAATAATGCATAAATGTTTTGGGTGAATATCAAAATGTATAAATTATTTAACATTTTACCTATGTACAACTATTTCCAACTCATGATCATGTGTTTTCTGAAGGGTTTTTAAATCAAATCAAAAGTAATGAGTAAAATATTAAACAGTTCATATGTTCGGTGTATCTCAATGAATTCCCCAAATATAATAGCAATAGAATGGAAATGGAAATTACACAGCAGGAATTTTAATAAAATCCCCTTAATATCCAATAATTTTTAGGCAGCCAACTAGGTTGTAAGCAAAATGAATAATTGGAAATACAAATCTATGCTATGGTGTCATCCTCTATTTTACTCCACTAGTGCTTGCAGATTGTACCAATAGGAACTAGTATGAAGAGATGAACACCGTGAAAATGTAAAGAAAATAACTGGAACTTGAACTTTTAATTAACACAGATATTTAGGCAAAGGAAAAAGTTAATATTGATTGCAAAAGCAAGATTAGGTCCAATAAGGTGATGATCTTAAACTTTCCATCGACCCATCCCAAGCTTTTGTAAAGGAGGTATATTGGTCCAATAAGGTGAGGACCTTAAACATTCTATTAACCCATCCCAGGCTCTGGTAAAAGAAGTACATTGCGTTACGCAAGTAACCATCATAAAACTTTGCTACATCTTATCGTGAATCCTGAACCTATGTTATATAAAACCATCATAAAACTTTACCACATCTTATCATGAATCCTGAACATATATTATATAATTATTAGGATAAAACTTAAATGATGATGATGATTCATAGAAACAAGTTTGTACTAATTTACACCATCATTTTATTTGCACATTATAGATTTGAAACAATTTTAAAAGACGTATTACTTTTTTACATTGTTTTAAATGTGAAGTCAATTCTATACTGTCCAACTAACATAGATACAATAGAACATTGCAATCTTACTTCTACAAGTAAGGTTGTCACCTTATATAAACTACATCTTGAGGTTAAAATATAGTAAAAAAAATAAAAAATTTAGTGGAGAGCAAGGAATAACTAATGGGGAGCGATCTCATGCAAAGGGTTTTAGAGAAAGATAATAAAACAATCTTCGAAAACCATGTTAGGGCCATTTATTTGAATCCAATTTTTAAATATACATTCATTTTATTTCAAGGAACAATCACAAAAAAATAATATTTGAAAATACACCATTGAAAGTGATATTTTAGACCAATTAATATAGGTCGTCCATTGTAGTAAAAAATGCTTAGATCTAGGTCTTGGAATGATTTTTTCGCTTATAAATTTTTTAGAAGGCTTTATTATCATTAGATGATCAATGTTAAAAAGAAAAAATTAAATTTGAATTTATAAAAGCCTAAATCTTGAAATTCACTAAATTGATGGTTTATATTCATTATTGGAGGAGACTCATTTTGACCATATCTACGGTGTAAATTTTAGGGAGATTGATTATTAAGATGAAGAGAGGATGTGTGCAATTTATGAGGTTATACAAATGCCGCAAACATGGTTTTCTTGAAATATGATTTTATGATATTATAATGGAACGTAGTGGCATGAAATAACTCCTCATGACGAAAATACAAATGTTGGAAATGAATTTATATAAGGTGAAAAGCTACAAAAACTTGGCAATGCAAGAAGCAAGAAAAATCAAGGATGAACAAAGAGAATATAGACAGGGATTGAAATTTGTTATGAAAATAAAAAGGTGAGAATTTCCTTTTAGAACTTTAGGAGATTAGGATCGAGTTTAAGAGAAGGTACCAATAAATGCTATAGTAAAATTTAAGAGATTTAGTTATAAATATTTTTAGAGAAGTGCTATTATGATACCACAAACTCTTTCTTCTTCTATTGTTCTTTTTTCCAGTAAATATGAGATATTTGACTCCTAATTGTAGCTTAATAATGTAAAGGCATGATTCTATCTTTTTATAAGGTCCTTTTCTAGTTAAATATTACGTTTCCAATCTTTACTTGTGACTAAAATCATTTGTTTTGAGTAGGGACAAAAAAGGACTAATTAATAAGTTTATATAAAGTTGCAACTTACTTGTAGAAATATGGTCCCAGTACTCTACAACATTTATTGTATTTAGATAGTATATTTAACACTAACTTAAAATAAATGTCATTTTTTGTTATTATTGTATTAAAATACATATCAAATCTACATCATCTAATTAAAATGAATAGTATAGAAGATTGCAAACTTACTTCTAAAACTAAGGTTATAAACTTGTACAAACTACACCCAACTATTGATGTAAATGAGAATAGATAGAGTTTGCATGATCTTTAATCCTCATGGAACTTAACCCACAAACGGTTGTTACAAAAGTAACAACAAAGATAGTTTCCCAATAGTTTGAATTGATATATGAAGGTCCCAACTATTTAATCTAAAAGCTTGAGTATGTTGTACTTTCAGTTTAGCCAGTGGAATGAATACAACCACCCAATGTCTTATCTAATAATCAATATTAATTGTGACTACCATGTACCAAACAGAAATAATATTATTGCATTCTTTTTTACAAAATAAAGAGTAATAATCCTATGAGACCCTTCCACACCTATATATGTAGGACCCTAAAAGATCACTTCTAAAATAAATTCCAAAACTTTTTTAAGTCTAGAACTTCTAAGAGCATATTTTGTTTACACAAAATTCCCCCAAGGCTAGTGTGTTTTTTTTTTATAGTTCTATCAAAACCACAATAAAGCTGGCAATGGGCCGCCAAGTCAAAGAAGGGTCTGGGTGGCCCAACATTTGGGCCAAGACTGCAAGAGGGTTGTTGCCACCATAGTTAGCAAGTTGGGGACTATCAATAAATCGTCTCACCATAAAATCGGAAACAAATCGTATTTATTTTAAAAAGTCGGATGAAAAAATCAGGCAAAAAATTACGGATCGGCAAAAATACTTCATATAAAGATATTGCTAATATATCGTATTAGGCTCAAAAAATTGGAATGAAATTTTGAAATTCTAAAAAATAAAAATTATGTCAAAGCCATCAATAACTAATTCATCTATAAAAACTTTACTAGACTAATATAATTAAGTTAATTAATTTAGATGCTTTATGACTCTCATGCAATCATCTAATATTAAATATATAATTATTTAGCATATGCAAAAAAAAATTGTACCATATAAATCTACTCATCAAATACTTTAAGAAACATCACACCTACTTATTACATACCAAAACCAAATATAGCTATATAAATTTATTCATTAAATAGTTTAACTAAATATGTTTTATAAAATTATTCATTAAATACTTAAATATCATATGGCAGGTACAAAAAAATACACGATTTTTGTTTTATCATTACAAGAATTTAACTATAGTATAGTATAATGACTATGGTCACTCTATAACGATGGTTAAAGCTTTATTGAATTTCTGTAATTGAAAAGAGGCTCGTAGAATTTGGGTTTCAATCTCTGCGTTTACGGTTTAGAGATAGGAGGAAGAAGGAAGAACCGAAAATAAGGCGGGGCTCATAGCCAAGCCAGGGTTTATAGAGGGAGAATAAGGTTACGGTTTAGAGAGAGGAGGAAAAGGAAGAGAAGCAAGAGGTCCGGGTTCATAGCCAGGTTTATAAAGAGAGAAGAAGAAAGAAGGAAACCTTAATAGAAGAGGCCCTAACTGATTTTTAAAAAGAGAAAAAATGATTTTTAGAAAGAGAAAAGAAAGATGGGAGCTGATTAGGGATAGTTTGAAGATAGCTTTTCTCTCTGATTAGGATGTTATTTGGGAGAAAGTCCTCACTATATTGATTTGTTAGATGCCTTAAGTGATTTTTAGAGAGAGAAAAGAAAAAGGGCTTTCTATTTTCTCGAGGAAAAGCAAACAGAGCTGAAAGATTAGATTTAGGTTTGGGGAACTAATCCTATATGTACAATTGATTGCTCCTATAAGTTTACAATTTACACTATATTGTTTATCTTTGTTATCACATAATCAAAATCAAAGATTACTCGATCGTGTAGTCACACTCTCTGCTTCTCATTCATCAGCGAAAGCCTATGTTTTGAGCTCTAATTTGTGCCATAAATAGTATTTTCATAAAAACAATTATCACAAATAATCACATAAATCTGCATGTATATGATTTTTTTTCCACAATTATTTACTTTACAAAATGATTTGCTATAAACATTATTTCATTTACGGAGTGATCTTCCATAATAACATTGAAATCTGCATCTATTTGTTTAAGTTTAAAAAAAAAGGGAAAAAAAATCTATACCTTCAATCTGAACTGTGGCTTTGAAGAATACAGTGGGGATAAAAATTTATAATTTAGGTTTTTTTTTAAATATTTTTTTTTTTATTTTAAAAGCTTGAAAGTAGCAATGGTTGCCATACATAAACCGAAAAAAAAAAAAAATTATCTTTCAAAAAAAATATAGGTAAAAAAAGATACGATTTGTTGGCCTGATTTAAATCGTATTATGAAAAAAAGCGCGTTTTAAAAGTTTTTATGAAAAATATGCGACTTTTTCCCGACCTTTTCAAAAAGTCCCCGTTTAAACTGTTCCCATAAAAACGCCGATTTAAAACTGCTGCTAAATATGTGTTTCCCACAGAGGTTTTAGGGTGTAAGCTTCAGAGAGAGGGAGGTGTTTCCCACAGAGGTTTTAGGGTGTAAGCTTCAGAGAGAGGGAGGTGTTTCAGAGAGAGTTTACGCTCCACTCACGTAGATCACGTAGAGAGACTGTCCTAGGGCTTCTCCTCTAGAGAGAGAGAGGGTTTTCCCTACTAGGGCTTCTGATTTTCTCAGAGGGAGAAACCATGGCTGAGCTGAAGCTCTCAGAAAGCAGAGACCTGACCCGAATTGAGCGCATAGGTGCCCACTCTCACATCCGAGGACTGGGCCTCGACGCGAACCTCCAGCCTCGCGACAGCTCTCAGGGAATGGTCGGCCAAGTCCCTGCTCGCAAGGCGGCTGGCCTCATCCTCCAAATGATCAGAGAGGGCAAAATCGCGGGTCGAGCTGTTCTTATAGCTGGCCAGCCAGGCACTGGTAAGACCGCTATTGCCATGGGCTTGGCCAAAGCCTTAGGGGAAGAAACACCATTTGCTATGATGGCTGGCTCTGAGCTCTTCTCTCTCGAAATGGGGAAAACTGAGGCCCTAACGCAAGCTTTTCGTAAGGCAATAGGAGTGAGAATCAAGGAAGAGACTGAGATTATCGAGGGGGAAGTTGTTGAGTTGCAAATTGATAGGCCTGCCACTCAAGGGGCCGCTTTGAAGACTGGGAAATTGGTGATGAAGACTACAGAGATGGAGACTGTGTATGATTTGGGAGCAAAAATGATAGAGAGTCTGGGGAGGGACAAGGTTCAGAGTGGGGATATAATTGTTATTGATAAGGCCTCCGGGAAGATAACGAAGCTTGGGCGGTCGTTTAATAGGTCGAGGGATTACGATGCAATGGGGCCTCAGACGAAGTTTGTGCAGTGCCCAGATGGGGAGTTGCAGAAGAGGAAGGAGGTCGTGCATTGCGTCACACTTCATGAGATTGATGTGATCAATAGCAGGTCCTCTATGTCCCCCCCTTTGATTCATTATATCGCCTGCCATTTTATTTTTATTTTTTTAACTATTGCTACCTGCTTCTCTTTTCATATTTTTTTATATGATTTATTAATTTTTTCTATGTTCATCTCTTGAAGATTCGACCTTTTCTTCTGTGTTTTATGTTCGATGATTTCATTTTTCTGTTTCTTGCGATACCCAATAGGAAAATAAGAACATAATTAACCAATTCATTGAACTTTGTCATCGATTTACAGAGGAATTTGCTTTATTCTGTGTTTTTTTTTTAACTATTGCTATCTGCTTTATTTTTAACTTTATTTTTAGCTTTATTTTTAACTATTGCTTTATTTTTAGCTTTATTTTTAACTATTGCTATCTGCTTCTCTTTTTCATATTTTTTATATGATTTATTCATTTTTTCTATGTTCATCTCAAGAAGATTCGACCTTTTCTTCTGTGTTTTATGTTCGATGATTTCATATTTCTGTTTCTTGCGATACCCAATAGAAAAAATAAGAACATAATTAACCAATTCATTGAACTTAATGATTCTCATTGTATGCTTTCAAATTTTCTTGATGCACCCCATTAGTGATCTGCTTTTCGGACTACTTGAAACCAAGGAAAGAAAAATAATAGAATAACCCAACTCAGAAGGCTTTTTGTTTTATTGTAATCTACTCTTGAATTCTATGTTTTATGTCCACTAATTTCATTTTCATTTTCTTTCGGATGCCTATAGTGGAACTACTTTAAAGTGAATAGAAAGAACTGATAACCATATTCGATGCAAAGCTGCAAACTAGATACTTGGTGTTGATTTACAAAAGAGAAACTCAGAAATGCACTCAGTTAGTATTGTACGAAAGCAGTTAATATGAAAAACTGTCAATATGGAAAACTTCTAACAAACAATATGCCTGCTTAGATCCTATATTTTAGTAGGTCACCCTTTTTATGCACCATCCACCAGTGGGATGTGGTGTTGTGACTCTCTAGACATCCTAGGTCATCCTTAGGGATGCTGCGACTTATATGGTTGTGAGTTTATGTATAGGTTTATTTGCATTGATGTATGCTTCACCTCTTTTGTGGCATAAATTTAGTTGCTCCAGTTTGTGAAGATTTGCATGCTGTTTTCCTTTATTTGGAGTACCTAGAATTTTATCATAGATTGTTTTTCTCTTAATGTAATGGTGCTACGCTTTATACTTCTTAAATGGAAATTTTGCGAAAATGGGTAAATTTAGTATATGTATGCATGCATAGTGATGCAGGAAATGTATCCATAATACCCCTTTTTATTGTATCACTCATGTGCTTCTTTTTGACTGGTTATTTCTGTTCTCTAGCCATGGATAAAGTTGGTAGCTATCAACTTTACCAACATATGTATCAAGTTTTATCAGATAGGTCACATTTATGAAACTGCAGCCTATTCCCTATGTATCTGAACTGCCATTGATGAGGATCGAACTTTATTTCTGTTCGTGTTGTCAACTACATTGACAGAGTTAGCTGCTCAGTGATTAATGCAGAACTGCTCCAAGTAGATTTGATTAGGATATTATAAGAATTAAATATTATTATGTCTTACTTAATACTTAATAATAAACCCTAAAGCAAAGGATTACAATCAAATATCGTTTACCTCTCTATATTTCACTGGATATGAATATTAAATTGTTATCTTCTGTCATCTTGTCCCTGTTAATGAAATGTCTTGGTGTATTTGAAGATGAAGGGGTAGTTTGACAATTTCTATTAATCATGTTTGATCAGCGTAATATTGTTGTGTACTTGCCCCAAAAAAATGTACTATTGTTGTGTTTTTGGTAAAGATGAACTGGGTTTTTCTACTCTCTCTCTCCTTTTTTTTTTTCTCAATGACAATAAGAAAGATGTCTTCACTAGAGAAGGTGTTGCACTGAATTCTTGATTTCAAGATAAACATGCAGTTAGCCAAACTATATGGTGTCATTTGTTATAAATTTTTGAGTTGCTATTGTATTTGTTGTTCTTTGCTCTTCCTTATTGAGATATTTCCTTACGTTTCTTAACATCATAGTTCATTCTAGTTCCTTATGAATTTTTTTTAGACTATTCATGTAGTGTTCCAATAAGATGTTTTGGAAGTGTTGTCCATGACTAGATAATAATAAAAATACTTTAGCTTGAGGATTTCTATAAAGGATGTAGGGTGTTACAGATTTACTTATATATAATATGGATTTTTTTCTTTATAGATGCCAGTGAATCCTTCTTGTGAAGAACTATGCTACTTCTCTTCACGTGCTTGGTTAAATATTGTGTGAAAAATCTAATTGTCTTGGAAAGGTATTTTGTCCTTGAAAAGATTTTCTTCTTGCCCCTTATTCTGTGCCCAAGGGACACTAGCTATTCCCCTTGTGAACTGTTGTTTTTTTCGGCTGTGTTCGTTTTTGCCTCTTTTGTGTGTGTGTGTGTGGGGGGT